TTATTATGTTATTTATTATTATTATGTTTTTTTTTTTTAAGTATAATAACCTTAAATTAATCAACTTTTTATCATGTTAACAACTTTAAGGGTATTTCAAACATTCTGATAAAAAAAAGTGTTTACCAGCACTTATTTGCCAAACACATCAACAGCTTTTTTTTCAACTGCAGCACTTTTATCCAAACACATAACTGTTTATTTTAAAAATAAGTTCCAGCACTTTAAAAAATTACTTTTTAAAAGTTACTTTTTTTAAATCAATCCAAACGGGCTATAAGTCTCCAAGTTGAATAGTGAATCTTGTAACTGACTTTCTAGAGAAGGCACAAGCAGCCCAGTCTGCATCATAATTAGGGGTGGCAAATAGTTGAATTTGGATGGATCTAAAATGGTTTAAACAAAAATGGGTAATTATTTAATCCGCCCATATTTTATATGGGTAAATATGATTTGGGTAATTAATGGACGGATTGGATATGAGTTTACCCATATTTCATCCACATTGATTGAAGAATTGAAAACTGCATTTATATGTTTTAAGTTTCTAAAGTAATTTTTTATTCTACTCACTCCACCCCTACCTCCAATTCACCCACCCCTAATTTTATTTTATTTTTTCTAACCCCCACCCCGCTTTCATCCTCCACCCCCATACCCTCCCCTCTCCACCTCACCCCACATTCATCCCCCCCACACCCCCCCGACCACCTTCCACCAACGTACCCTTAAGAATTTTGAGTGGAAGTGAAAAGTAAGTGATCTATTATGGGTCAATATGGATACTCATATTTTTTCCATTTTGACCATATTTGTAGAGACTCTTAAAATAGCTTGAAGCCCATATCTAACCAATTAAAATATTAGTGATCCAAGTCATTAAATATGGATAAAATGGACTCATTTCATTAATATAAGCTGAAATTGCCACCCCTAATCACAATGAGATGTGAGAGCATTTTCTTGTTGCTAGATAACAACAAACCTTGTCTTGGTTTACCTTTTACATACTTAACTATCCTAAGTGTTGCATCCATATGAGACTATTTTGATTTCTGCAGAAATGGGCTGAGTGTTTGAACACTGTAAGATATATATCTGGTATGGTAACTGTTATATATAGAAGTTTTCCCACAAGTCTTTGGTAGACACCTTAATCAGCTAGTACCTCATCACTAGAATCTACTTCTTTGAGATGATGATCATATTCAGTAGTAGTTAATTTTGTAGTAGTATCCAGGGGCGGATCGATATACAACGGTGGGTGTCATACCATCCACAGACCTCGGTTGAAACTCTGTATACAAAGATACATAGGTATATATGTTGAATGAATAGCTATATATAGAAAGTTTGACCCCTAGAATAATGAAATGGTGAATGGTGCCACTGGTAAAGGTCATCACATGACACATAGGGGACACGATTTTGAAACTGATCGACATTACTTTATCTTACTTTTTTTTAAAAAAAAAACATTAGGTTGCTTTCACTCGGTTCTTTTTCAGTTTTTATCATTTTTTAATTGCTATTCTTTATTAATCCAAATTAACTCCTTTTTGCATTTTGATTAATTTCTTTTACAAAAGATATCGCTTGCAACGTTGTTGTTATTATATATACTAATTTCTGGGAACGTGTGTTACACGTTTGTCCCTTGCAATTATTATAAAGTTTAGTTATTACATAGAAAATGTCATTATTAATTTTATCAATTTATATTTTATTCATTAAATAAAATTTATAACACAATCA